GACGTCACTGCCGTGACGTGTCTTCGGTCTTGGGGCGTCACGTCGCGTCACGCTAGTCGTCACGTCAAGAGTGGCCTTTCTGAGGGGACCGCGGGGCGGCTGTACCGCACGGGTGGGCACCGGGGACGGCGCTGCCTGATCTGTTCAGCCGTCACCGTAATAAAATGCGAGGAAGAACGGTGACGTAATAGCAAGTTACTATGCAACTGATGATTTAATGGATGTCGTCTGTTGTGTTTTGTAGTCTGGTATCTCCACTTCGTCCTCCTGTCCTGTCAGTATTCTTGTCCAGACGTCCAAAGGCATTTCACGAGGGTAGGTTTAGTTGCACAAAACTTCCCAATTTCAGTGAAACGCTCACGATCTGCGCGCCTGGGCACGGTGTCAGCTGTTGGGCAACTCTGAAGTCACCCAAGCTGGAAAAAGCTGGCAGAATCCAGAATTTCAGAGGGTGAATCTGGTATTTTACTTTACATTCAGGCTCCAGATTCTGACAGAAGCTTTTTCTTAGGTACGGGAAGACGTTTACACCCCTCTAGACTTAGAACGAGCACACACAAATATTTGGCGGTGACAGCAGGCGCAGGCCTGGATGCGCATAATGAGATTATTCAGCTGTTAAAGCCACCTTTTATTCAGAGGCAAGAGCCAGCCCAAATACAAGGCTCTGTTTACTGATGCAGAGTTTTAGGTATCATCTGCCAACTGGTACAGGACTAGACAAGGTTTGGGTTTGGTTTTTTTTTGTGAAGAGCTCTCCTCCCCGTTGTTGAATTTAATTGCTCATTTTGCAGACACATCTAAAAATCTCTTTCTGGAAAAGTTTGAAAGGATGAAGCCATCCCTGTTATTTATACAGATCATTCAAGTGTCCCCACTACACAAAGATTTCGTTTGCTTGCCAAAATACCTTGAGTTACCACGTTGATTAAACTGATTCTCTAGAATGGAGAAGATCCATGTGTCAAACAGAGAAAAAAAAGGGGTTAAATGGGGAGGGTAACCCCGTGTTAGTGTTGGTGCTTTATTTTCCAAAGGCACCAACCCTGCAGCCTGCCAGTGGATGCCTTTGAATTACTCCTTTTTGGCCTGGTTTCAACAGGCAGACTCAGCGTTACATTAGGCTGAAGTATCGGTTTCAGTGGCATTACATCAAGAAACATTGGCTTATTTTCTTTTGAAGCAGGATATCGTTGCCTTTTCTAACATGAATAAAATGCACTATTGCTACAATTTTGAAAGGAAACAAAAGCTCCTTCTGTATTTATATCACATTCCCACACAGCTACGACAATGTTGGAACTGTCTTTTATAAAGACCATGCAAGTAAATCTTGTTTTACCTGTGTCTGACAGCATGGAAAGCCTTTCCTTATAAAGTACTCTTTCATTTGTGTACATACCAATCATGTTTTCCTACTAACTTACCAAAAAGAAAATCAGGTAGATCTCATTTACGGAGTCTGGGATATAAAGCATGTCTTTCAATTTTTTTAATTCCTGAAGCTCTTCCTCCCAACTTTTTCAGTATGTTTCCTCAATTACTGGCACCAAACACGCACACAGTAGTCAGAGAGGAATCACAGTTGTGCCAAATACTGGCCTAATGTGGAATCTGTAGGTGTACTCAGTATTTCCTTGTAGCCAAATCCAGAAAATGATCTTTTTTGCCAAGTGAGATGATATCCACATAACTTTTTTAAAACCCATCTGTTCTACTCCCATGATTTTTGGAGATTATTTATAGTCAGTGTTTCCTAGAAAGGAGCTAAATTTTAGCGCATGCACTCTTTCAAGGTGTACAAACTTGTGTCTCGTACTGTTGAAAAAAATCACCTTTGCTTATGTCCAGCCCATCTTGACGCTCAGATCCAAGCTAACCTCTC